ATATATATATATATATATATATATATATATATATGTATGTATATATATGCATACATACATATATATGTATATATTTATACATGCATATATGTATGATATACACATATATATGTATATATATGTATGATATATATATGTATATATATGATATATATATACACACACACACATATATATATATATATATATGTATATGTACAAATATACATATATATGTACATATATATATATACATATATATATATATATATATATATATATATATATATATATATATATATATATATATATATATATACATATATATATATATATATATATATATATATGTATATATATATATATATATATATATATATATATATATATATATATATATATATATATATATATATATATATATATATATATATATATATATATATATATATATATATATATATACGCGTGCGCGCGTGTGTGTGTATTATCATATATCATATATAAATTAATAATGATTATAAAGATAAGAATCGGTTTATTGAGTCTCATGCAGCAAAGGGCCGAAATTAAAAATATAGATAAAGAAACAAACTATATATACACATAAACGCATTTAAACAACAAACAACAAACTAAACTAACAATCCATAGGAAATATAACAACAAAGGAAGCAAATGAAACAAAATAACAAAGGACAAGTGCAAGTTCAGGTGACCTGGTGCTGGACTAGTAATTGTGGACTAGCTCGTAGAAGGGGGGGGGAGGAGGACCACTAACTAGTGCTCGTTGATGAGTCGGACTGGAGTGGGTAATGTGCTCCGGTGGTAGCGATCAGTCTCTCTCATACACACACACACACACACACACATACATATATAAATACATACATATGTGGGTGTGGGTGTATATATGTATATATATACGTATATATACATATATATATAAATATACATATATATGTGTGTATGTGTGTGTGTGTTTGTGCGCGCGCGCGCGTGTGCGTGTGTGCGTGACCAGAAATACAACACAGTACTTATCATCAGCATAATAAATCTATTCAAGCTCAAATTTGTTTAGAAATGCTGATGATATATATTCTTAATAGCCTGGTAACTGCTAAACGTGTAATTGAACATTTGGAATTAGCATTTCTCTATCTTCCATTAACTAATTATCAATGCTTCATCTCAGTGTTCGGATCGCTGTAAATTCGTTATCGAGTTTTATCGTTTACTATACTGTGCATTTATTCATCAGGTGCATTCATTTGCCAAAACGAAATTACGTTCACAGACTCGGTCGCATATGTTAGAGAGAGAGAGAGAGAGAGAGAGAGACAGACAGACAGACAGACAGAGAGAGAGAGAGAGAGAGAAATAGAGGTGGAGAGAGAGAGAGAGAGAGAAATAGAGGTGGAGAGAGAGAGAGAGAGAGAGAAATAGAGGTGGAGAGAGAGAGAGAGAGAGAGAGAGAGAGAGAGAGAGAGAGAGAGAGAAAGAGAAAGAAAGAAAGAGAGGTGGTTGGGTAGATAGATAACTCCATCCATTTCTAAAAGCTGGGATCGATTTCATACATTTGACGCGGACTTTTTATCTGTTCTCGTTATTTTCGCTATTCCTTTTAAGGGATGTTCGATGTCTTACAAGGGCACGTACGAGATGAAGACCATTTACTAAATTGCATTAATTTATAAATTTTTTGGGTCACACGAGAAGGAAATGTTGGAGCTAATTTTAATCAAAGTACTGGCCATTTGGACAAGGGTATTTCCTTTGTTTCCTTATCGTTGGAGCATTAATTGAACACACACACACACACACACACACACACACACACACACACACACACAGATATAGATAGATAGATAGACAGAGAGATAGATATAGAGAGAGGAAAACTTTCACCAAACAACGAAACAAAAACAGATCAGCCGGGCAGCGGTTGCCCATCCTTCCCCCCCCCCCTTCCTCAGTATCCTCCTCAGCACCCTCAGATCTGCTTCCTTTGGCCTTCGTCAGCTTCTTAGGCGTTTACACTTTTCCAGACGGTCGTGTGTCTCGACTTTGTAATATCTAAAGGGCCTCCTTGACTCCAGATCTTAAATGGGATTCCATTCTTAGCTCTTTCGACACCTATGTCCTTTAGTTTTAGTTTATTTCTTTTTCATTATTCTCATTTTCTTCGACAGATATGGGTTATATACATCTGTTTCCTTTTTGAGCAATATTTTCTTTTCTTTCTGTTCTTATCTTATGCTCTTTATCATCATTATTAGCCAGTTTTGTTGGATCTATTATCAACAGTAGTGATGGTACACGAGGGAGAATAAACAGTCCAGCATAATATAATTTACTATTTCTGCTCCCTCAAGGCCTGTCTAACCTCTGCTCTCTCCAGGGCTGTCTATTTTTTTCTTTCACAACTGTTTTATCCCTATTAAGTCTGTTTTTTTTTTTACAGCTCTCTTATCCATATCAGTAAAGACACCGTAGTTAATAAAAAAAGATAAAAAAGGAAAATGAAAATGAAAATGAAAAGAATCCGGACACAGATTTTTTTTTTTTTTTTTTGGGGGGGGGGGGGGGAAAATCCTTCCTCCAATATTTCGTCGGATCGATTACTTTATGTCCACTCGTCTTATGTTCTCCGTTCGACATTGACGTCGTTAAATTTTCGATGTTGCCTTTATTGTCGGATTTTATGATCGTTTTAGAACTATGTGATTCTATTTCTGTTGTTGAATGCCCAACAACAACAAAGTCGATACCTCGTTTGCATTTGGTGTAGTGTATCTGTTCTCTCTTAAAAATAAAAAAAAGAAAAAAAGAAATTAAAGTCCTACCATTTTCAGTGATTTCAAAGCTCCGACATAACATATCAATAAAACTGCTATGTAGCCATAAATGTCAGAATTTCCTCTTGTCTCCCCCCGGCTTTTGGTTGCACCGCGGATCACGAACGCAAAGGGGAATATTTTTGTTGCCATTAACGCTCGCGCACGGTATTTTTTATCCCTTTTTCCCCCCGGGGAAGCTTAAGTATTCAACTCTGCTTATCTGTTACCTACTCTTCATATTTCTCGGTGGAAACACTATTATGTACTGTTTATATGCGGTACGGTGCATTGACATACATAACACATAATAAATCGTAAAGAGGGAGAGAGAGAGAGAAAGAGAGAGAGAGAGAGAGAGAGAGAGAGAGAGAGAGAGAGAGAGAGAGCGAGAGAGAGAGCGAGAGCGAGAGAGAGAGCGAGAGCGAGAGAGAGAGCGAGAGCGAGAGAGAGGGAGAAAGCGTTAGAGAGAGCGACAGAGAGAAAACGAGAAAGAGAGAGAGAGAGAAAGAGAAAGACTCTCAGAGAAAAAGAAAATCCAGACGCAACTCCCTACAGCGAAGCCGATTTGTCTCCCTTCCTTCCTTTACCTGTTCTTAAAGATTTTCTCTGAGAAAACACATTTCCAGCATTGTTCTTCCGGCCTAAGCCAATAAAATACTTTTATTTCTTTATATATATATACAGTATATATATATGTATCTATGTATTTATAGATATATATATATATATATGTAATCAGCACTTTTTTCCCCTGGAGTCGTAGGAGGAGATGGAGACAAAAAAGAAAAAAAAAGAAAAAAAATCGGGGAAAACTGACGAATAAAAATGATTAATGGTGATGTAAAAAAAAAAGAAAAAAGAAAAAAAAAAAAAAAGAAAACCCAATAAGAAATAAGAAATAAGAAAAGGAGGGAAAAAAAAACAAAAGGGAGAAAAAAAAAACACACATGTGATATCCTAGAATGTATATTTTCTCGCATTTACACCAAAAAGTAAACGTTTCTTAAAGTACGACTCACCCAAGCAAGAACTACCTCACCAAGCTCCATTTAATCTGATCCTATTCTCTCCAGCTTCCCCTTACGCGTAGATGGACACGCACACACATACATACATGCATACATACATACATACATACATACATACATACATACATACTTACATACATACATACTTACATACTTACATACATACTTACATACTTACATACATAAATACATACATACATTCATACATACATACATACATACATACAAACATACATACATACACACACACATGCGCATATATAAAAACACATCTAACTTTCTATCTACTTATCTACATACATACATGCACACACAAACACACATAAATGTGTATGTATAAGTACACACATCTATCTTTCTATCTATTTATCTACACACACACACACATACACACACAAACACATATATATACATATGTAGATATGTATATACATCTATAAATGTATATGTGTGTATCTGTTTGTGTGTTTGTGTACGTGTGTATGTGTGTTTGTGTGTGTGTGTGTGCGTGTGCGTGTGTGTGTGTGTGTGTGTGTACATATGTATGTATATATGTATATATACATATATAAATCAATAAATAAATAAATATACATATATATATATACATATATATATATATATATATATATATATATATATATATATATATATATATATATATATATATATATATACACACACACACACACACACACACACACACACACACACACATTTGTGTGTGTATATCTATATCTATGGATATCTTTCTATATATACATATATATATACATATATATATATATATATATATATATATATATATATATATATATATATATATATATATATATATATATATATATGCATATATATATATATATATATATATATATATATATATATATATGTATATACATATATATATATATATATATATATATATATATATATATATATATATATATATATATATATATATATATATATATATATATATATATACGTATATATGTATACACACACAGTTTTGATAATATATTATGTAAATGTTTATAAATAAATGTATATACATATACATGCTTACATGCATATTTTTTTCTCTCCATCTGTGTATATACATGGTTTGGTGTAATTACTTATTGTTTACTTATTGTTCCAATTTTTGCAGGTTCCGCGTTGCCAAGAATGGGCTGCAACACCTGATTCTCGTGGCAGCGAAAGTCACA